GCTGAAGTTGAGGTGTGGCGCCGTATGAGACGGTAAACACATGCAGCCATTTTTAAAATTCTCATCAAAGGCAGAAACGTATTTTTCAATCGAAGTCTTCCTTGGCGTTGCCGTCCTGACTGCTTAAGGTCCCTAATGTCTACAGCGGTGAAACGTCGTACATGCAACTGGCCGCGCTCAAATTTTCCGCGCAATTTCTTGAAGGAAACAACTGGTGTCACTCAGCGCACGCAAAATTTACGAAAAAAAAAAATGAAAAGTTCGTGGAAACAAAATAAAACAAGAGCTTGGGAAAGGAAAACTTGAGATACGTCTAAAACCAAATTTATTCAGTGAAGGGTTTTCCGCTGATTTACGATTCTGCTTTGAACGCGGCCATAAAATTCAAACGTTTCCAAACATCATGTTATGTTGATGCTGCCTCGTTGCGGTTTCAACGCTTGCACATGTGCGCTGCTCACCATCAAAACGTCCTTGTAGATGTACGCGTACAGCCAATCATGCACTACAACATTCCATGTGCGGTAGTAGTCAGCGTAGGAGGTAGAGTTCCACCAATCCTGTTGTAAAATCACGAGAAGGAGACAAGTTGTGCCGTCTATTCATTAGCTTGCGAGCAAGCTACCTTTATCAGCGCTGAAGGACGCGCGTTTCTTCACCTGCGGGAAGATTTGAGACGAGCCGAGGAGAGGTTTGCTGCGGTTCTGGCCTCATTATCAGAGCTAGACCCTGCAAACCTCTCAACGGCTCGCGATGCTCAAGCCCTTTTTCTCCACCGCGGGCGAAGTAGCATTTAATTTCTCCAAACAGCAACGCCTTTAATTCAAACTTTACGGTCTTATGAATAAACGACATGATTACCATGTAAAGACGCTCTTGACCAGGACACAAATTCTCCTGGTTAGTAACAAAGGCGATGTATGGAGAACAGCATGGAGAATATGCATACTGATGTTAGGGTGTAGAGTGTTTACATTCCAGTTTGCACTAACGGTGAGGTGATTTTTACTCACCTCGTAAAACATTCTGTCAGCAAACCTGGTCATTTCCGCGAAGGCATTTAACCAGGAATGAAGGATGGCAAAGAAACCAAGAACAAGAACCATTGTCCCGGGAAGCATACAGTTGAATACTGACAACGTGAAATGTCTGAAAATACACAACAAAAAAAACAAAGTACACGTGAGACACGGTTCAAGTTTCCCGCCATACATTTGCAAAAAATGGAAAATTTGAAAAGGCTGCTGCTGGAGTGGCGTTCCTAGGTTGGACAATAATAACAATAATATAACAATGATGATTTAGCAGTGGACTCTCCACGAGGGTGGCTCTTCCTGTTAACTGTTTCCAGGTTGAATTGCAATTTGGAATGTTGGTTTTTGTGGAAGGAGGAAAACCAGAGGACCCGGAGAAAAACCCTTGGAGCAAAGACGCAAACCAACAACAAACTAAACCCACATGTGACGCCAGGTCTGGGAATCGAACCTGGACCACAGTGATGGGAGATGGGCGCTCATGTGCACAACGCAAACAAAAATAAACATTTTTTGGGAGTGGAGGAAAGTGGCCCCTAAGTAAGAATACATTATGTGTCTACAACTTTTAACCTCCAATGTTAACTGTCTGTGTTGCAAACTGGCTTAAAATTCAGCAACATACTCACTTAAAACTCCAATGTCCCTTTCCAATATTCCTGAACACGGGCACACAAAAACGGGCAAAAACGTAGTACGTGTAGAAGATACAGGCCACGGTTTGAAATGAATTGGATACCACATAATTCCATCTGATACAAGGAGTCCTGAGAAAATGATCCCATATGTTTGAGGAAGTTTTCTAAGTTTTTTTTCATAAGCATCTAATAGAATACCCTCAGGGAAAAAAGAGACTGATTTATCTCATAATCTTTGTTGCCTTCTAAGGAGCTATGAAGAAAGCTTTTGCCATCTGTACCACTAATGGCATGAAGAGAACTAATGATAAATATTTTGATGAGTTCTGACATCTTTTAAAGGACAGCTGCTTGATTTAAGTAACACTAGCCTGTATTCTCCCCAAAAGAACCTCCTCACTCTCTCTGGAAAAGACTACAGCATTCATCAAGACATTCTCCATCAGTCCTACCAACCAGTTATCAATTATTCATTTGTAAACTCTCTCTCAGATCTGATTGTTAATTCTCCCCTCCAGCTACTAAACATATCCCTGTAGATTAGTTATGAAAATTTGGTGCTAGATCAGGACAACAGCTTCTACCAGATAAGTTTGAGAATTCTCATTGCCCATTTGCTGGATTGTGTATGGATATATTATAGGGAGAAGTTACATGTTGATCACTCTTGGGAGCGAAATGGTTAATCAATAGTTCTACACGGCACTTGCCCCCATGAGGACTTGTCCTGGTGAAACTCTGTCATTTGCCAAAATGCAAGCCTCATCATTTTACCCTTTAGCCCCTCAAAGAGACCAGCATCTAAATTATCCTCACAGCAGCACTGCTGAATAATTCACTAAGATTATGAGAATAAAGAAAATGATCTCCATCCTGATTGTTAAACAAATTCTCTTTGTCAGTACCAAAGGAAATGTATTGAGTAGAGTATAGAGAATTTGAATATTGATGTTGGGGTGTAAAGCATTAGTTGTTTAAATTTTTGATACCTACATAGGGTACTGATCTCTGTAGATGAGAGTTGGGCAAAATAAGAAGTACAGGTATTGTCCAAACTCCGGTAATGACTGCTTTTCTTTCTCATCTCTGTCTTCATTTGCATCATCGATATCTCCCTCATTAGCTTGATCTGTTTCTGCAGACGACTCTGAGTTCTTCTTTAGCCCTAGAAAAGCAACAAACAAGTCTAACATGCTGTATAACAAGGGGGGAGGTTTCTAAAAAACAGTGGTGCTCACAAACAGTTCACGCTCAAAACATCAGCTTTAGACTGAAACTCATCACCATAGCCAGTTCACATTTAATTCATCAACACAGTTGTTAAAACCAAATTTTCACTCAGCATGAGCAATTTGCAGGAGTCTTCTCTCACCAGTTAGCAAGTTTGTATTTTGCAGGAACCAATTTTTGCCATTCAAGCTACAAGACCTAACACTTTCAAATACCCAGTTAAACTGATCAAGTGGGAGCCATAAGTAGACCTCCACTTGATACTTGATTCCTTGGCAGATTTATTTCATTTCACTGAAGGTGACAACTCCTCACAGTGTTTCATTAAGAGGGAGAAAACTAATTCTGTGGATTGACATCAATCCCCAGCTCCACAGTTTAATGGTGACAATTTCTCACACGTAGGATTGACTCTGAACTGATAATTCTATTTTAACAATATATTTATTTACCTTTTGACTTTTTGTAGGAAAGAACCTTGTGTGTATTTTCCCTGACAAATGCATGCACTTTGAGCATAAAGCGAATCTGAAGACACAAAAAAAGAAAATGAGAAAAAAAAAAAAAAAGATTAACTCTACAGTCCCATCAACCCTTTAACTCCCAAGATATAATTTCAATTCTCCCCTTATACATTTCCGTGTAAATTGTTACAAGAATTTGGTTTTACATCAAGATAATCACTTCTACCCGATAAGTTTAAGTATTCTCGTTACCTGTTTGATGGATAATGTATGAATTTTATTGGGAGAAGTTACATGCTTATCACTTCTGGGAGTTACAGGTTAAGACTAAAGCTTATCCTAGTTTCTGTAGCATGAAGTGACTAACAATACTGACACCCCTCAGGAGTGGGTTGTGACTCGATCTCTTGTGACACACCATCCCTCCATCTCCCCCCACCCCCTATCCCAGAAATTCTGTAGCTCCAAGGGAATTACAACCTCTATGGAATTTGTGCAAGACTGTGGCTTGTTTCTTACTGCCTTTACCTGTTCTGCAAGGATGATAATTGAAGAGGCAGGTGGAAGATCCTGTTGGCAAACTTCTTTGACAGGGAGTATTGTAAATACAGTCATGTAGATAATGTAAAAAGTAAGCCAGACCAGGTCTGGTATAGGCAACCATGAATGGCGGTTTGTGTGCCAAGCCATGAAAAGAGGAAATGCAGAGAGTGCCATGACCTTCATTACGAGCCACAAGCTGACAACTATCGAAGGTTTACCAAATGCCCATTTCAGTATTGAGAGGTCAAGTGAAAGACTGCAAATGAAATAAAGCACAAAAGCACAAAAGTGTCTAACCATGCAGTGCTACAAATTGTAATAAAATAGTTGACTCATTCCACTGAAGTTGCAACTTTCTAGAAAACCATTATATCTATGTATGATATACTTCACTTAGTGTTTTTTGTGATTGAGCAGCATTGAGGAAAAGGGATATTATAGCAAGCTGCAGTGCATTTTAAATCTATTTTCTTTAACCTTCAACTCCCTGAAGAGATTAAGATACAACTTCTCTTGTCAACTAATCTTGTCATTACATCTCTTCAACTACTTGAGATTTGAGCACATGCCCCCCACCCCTCCCCCCCCTCCCCTGCCTTGCCTGGAAGAATATTGAAATGGCCACCGATAAATGTCTCTGTGCAGGATTCTTTTTCAGAGATATTCTCTTAAACTGAATTAAGTTCCATCATGTTTCCATTTATGTCTGCTTTGTTGTGTTTTAGGTCTAAATAAATAAAGAACAAAACTCCTCACCTCCCTGAATCAATGTAGTCATAGACCACTGTATTTATAATGAACATGACAAGTAGGGCCACAAAGATGTTGTAGATTGTCTTGATATGGTTAACTTCAAGAAGTTCCCTAGTGTAGGAAAAAGACCATGATTATGAATAAAGAATTGTATGACTTTGCAAAAATATTTATCAAGTTAAATGCTCATAAAAATCAGGCTGTGAAAAGCCAGCCTCTCGCAAGAGCACTGATAAATTAAAATCCACCAGTTTCACCTGATAAAAAGTGTTCATAAAATCAGCCAAACTTACGTCAACATTGACTGTCTTGCCACAAATACTTTATTTCCATTCAGCTTGTCTCTAAAAAAATAAATAAATAAACATTTAATATTTATATAACTCTGACTGATGGTTGCATTTTATTTCAGGATAATAATCTGGGCTCCAAGCTTTACCTGACAAGTTCATGTCCTTACTTAACCCTTCAACCATTAGAAGTGACTAGCATCTAATTTCTCCTTACAAATCCTTCCTGAATCATACAATAGGGTCATGAGAATGAAGGAAACGATCAACAATTAAGAAGCTTTTGATTGTTCAACAAATTCTCCTTGTTGGCTCCTAAGAAAATGTTTAGAGAACAGTATGGAGAATTCATATACTGATGTTAGGGTGTAATGGGTTAAAATTCCTCCTATAAGCAGAGGGTTCACATGTTATTGCCTGCCATGATACTCATAATAGTTATGTTAAGCTCAGCATTTAAAAAGGGTAAAGCATGATGAACAACTTAGAAAAAAAATTGAGAATAACCATTGTGATGTCTTTTGTTTTGTATTATAAAATACTCAAATTATGAAACAAAGGTTACATCCTTAAAATTCTTGTTATTTAGTTAAATGGGGGTGAGTTATCCACAGATAACATTTATCAACAGTATGACATGTTGAAAGACAAGAGAAGTAGGCATCATTTAAATCACAAGATAAAGAGATTATTTATGGCATGACAACATAGGTGGATTTAACATAGGTCAGATGCATATTTTCATGTTTCAGACATCTGCTTAATTCTATAAGAAGCAAATAGAGGATTTTTATTTTGACCAAACTGACTCCAAAGATAACAACTTACTGTTTGAGTTCTCATCAACACAAAACTGCAAAACATGACTTGTTAACTCTTTCACTCCCACAAGTGACCAAGACAGAATTTCTCCTAACAATATGAATACAATATCAAACAGGCAGGTGATGAGAATAGAGAAGAATATCAATCATTAGTTGATCCAATACCAAATTCTCTGAACTAACATCATAAGAATTGTATGGCAGATTGTAAGGAGAATTACTAAACAGATCTTGGGAGTGATAGGGTTAACCCTCTCACCCTCACAATCTCAGTGGTAATTCTCCTTGCTGTCTGCCATACAATGCTTATGATGTTAGTTCAGAGAATTTTGCATTGGGTCAACTAACAATCATGCAGCTGATATTTTTCTTTGCTCTTAGTACTTAACGTCTTCTTGACATTGTATTGATATTGTAAGGAGAAATTCTGTTTTGGCCACTCATTAAGGTTGAACAGTTAAGAGACCTCTCACAGCCAAATTCTTAGTTGTTAAAAGTAAACACTTTTATTTTTCAGCAAACTGAACCTGTTGTTTATTAACCTGTGACCAGCAGATATATTCATCCACAATGATTGATCTATTTCTGACAAAGGAAGTCATGTTACTGAATGCTTTTTCTTTCAAAGAGAAAATCTCTTTCATGCACATTGGGAAGTAGAGTTAATACCTTTCTATGATGCATGGAATTTGTTGTGTCTTGGCTTTCACAGGTTCAAAGAGAACAAGAGCCCCACTTTTTGTTTCAAAATTGTCTCAGGAATAATTTGTCAGAGTGAGAATTAAAGTGATTCAAAATTTGTTCTAGAAAATACATCTTCGATTTTCGCAGAGGTACAATAGGACACCTAAGGTGGCTCAGTTGATGCCACAAGCAAATACTAAATGCTAATGGATTAAAATTGTCTGGTTCACAAACATTCACCCTGATTAATGTAAAACACATTTCATTTGTAAAACGGCATAAAATATTGGTAATATGTCCATCTGACAATCTAAAGTGCTTGAAAAGTCCCTAAACCACCAACCAGAAATGACAAGTTAAGGACTGTTAAGTACTGTTAATGGCAAGTTAAGGTCTCTGATAGATATGCCCTAAAGCTTCCAATTTAAACATTACCATCACAAAACAGATTTTGACAGCTGTATCTCCTTATTATGTTAAATTCTTCGAGTCACAAATTGTCTGAAAAATTTCACACCAGTAATAAAACGAAAGTATAATTGATTTGCACAAAGCGTTTGGCGAGAAATGTTTCATCATCAAACTGTTTCGTGATCGATGGCGAGCTGGGTTTCAACAGCTGTTCTCGCGCAAAAATGTTGGGGCCTAACAAATCAAAAGAAGTCGAGCGTAACTGACATGCAACACATAAAAATAGTGAAATAATGGAATCCTGATAAAATAGTGGTTATTCTGTGTAAATCTGTGACTCCATAAACTCTTCTGTATGTTTAAATCTACCATCATGGGGCCGTTTGCTTGTTAAAACACACACGTTTACATTGTCACGTGCGATCTCCTAAACAAGGAAATTACACAACGAACACCAATTTTATCCTCCTATTGGGCAAAGTACAAGTTCTAATTCCAGACGCAACAAGATATCTATTTTAATGGAAATTGTGTCATAAGGAAAGAAAATAGTTTGTAAAGTCCGGCGAAAGGAAGCAGTTTCCTCGCTTTTTTCCTTTTTAAGGAAAAAAACCTAGGGCGCTGAGAGCACTTCATTCAAACGTACCTAACAAACGAGTGATCTACGACGGATTCCAAGTTATCCACATCGTAGAGGACGTCATCGAGTAACTCATTGAGTTGACCATCAATCTGTTCTACCAATTCCGTTCTCAATTGCTTACAAGAGAGAAAAAAATTCAATTAAAAACATTACTTCGGAGAATTCAACGAAAATTTGAGATAACGTGCGTTCACGCAACAAAACGGAAAATTATAAATATGGAAAATGAATGAAGTCTATGTTTCTCAGATTTACAACGCGTGGTCACAGAAAGGAATACATCACATTTTAAAAACAACAACAAAAACATCTAACACAATAGGAAATTGTTGAAGTATAAGGCTAGATTTTTTTTTTAAATCCTTAATTGCGGAACAAATGTACCTCAGCACGTCGGCGAACTTCTTGCGCTCGTGCGCGACCCATTTCGTGTTTCTTGTCCAAGAAATTGGCTCCTGAAAAGAAAAGAAAATCATTATACTTTGTATCCGAACCAAATCCTGGCCTGCAGTTGGTTTCGCTTATCACAGGCAAATCACCTCCATTCATAGTACGAGTTTGCCTCCTCCGTAGGTTAGATGACGAAGCCATTGTTGCAGTTCACTAAGATTTCGATTGGCATGATCCCTCTACCGGCCTAAAGCTTAGAGACCAGGCACCGCAAGAAACCGATGAGTTTATCAGGAAACCTCGGACTAGTCTCGTCACGTTAGGTTTTATTTCAGAATTGTCACGCTAAACATAACAACTCGGAAATAATCATATAAGGGCTTTGATGTGAATGAACGGTAAACACTCACATTAAGATCCTCATGAAATATATAAGCATTCCAGGAAAACGTCAAAATATGAATATCATGGCCTGATGTTTATTTCCAAAAGCAAATGGTGGGAAGCGAAGACGAAATTCTTTTAATTTCCTATTATGACAAAATACATTATACACGCCTTGGCGTGTACAAGGTAGACCGTTTTGTTTAAAATAGTGACTCGAGTAAATCTTGAGATAGTGAAGAGCTACAAAATCTGACAGTTCCATTTTCAGTTTATTGGCAATCATAGGAACTATAGATATACACTTCAGTAGTTTGCTAAGAACACTAAGGGGATTCCCTTGTTCCCACAGTGTAATTGTAGAAGAGACAATACCTAAAATTAATTTCAAACGATCGAGATTTTACTAGGGAGATTTTTCGTTGCTTCCTTGGCTACAAACGTCAAAATGATAAACTAACCTGCTATGTTTTAGATTTCCTACAGATACAGTATTAGCATGTGGTCTTCCTTTAAGATCTGTTGTAGCGTCGTTGCAGTGACAGATGCGAAGACCTTTGCCACTTTTGTAATATTACTCCACCACTCGTATCTACTGTGTGTATTATAATCCCCCTTTTTCCCTGATGCGATCTGAGTCACGGCCGGTGAGGCGCACGTCACTGCGTTCGATCCAAGCGCTAATTGGACAGTATAAATGACGTTGTATTAATTGAATTGTCTGAAGCGATAATGAAGTAATCAAAGCACAAATATCAAAAACGTAAACTACTAGGACTTCCACAATGAAACAGTGAAAGGAAAGGAATGGATTTTCTATCGAACAGTCGATTTCTCGGGCTCGTAGCTTTGGGCTGCGGGGTGTATGTTACGCGGGAAGTACACATGATGTATTTCAGTGAAAAACCGTGGGACAGGAAACAGCACGGTTATGAAAGATATCCTCCGCGTGGAAATTTCCCTGATTTGCGCCTGCACAACAACATAATGGCGAATCATCTCACGCCAGACTTGTATGAGTCGTTAAGGTAAGCTTGTATACCAGAGACTGAAAAGTGGCGTGAACTTACCCTAAAGTTTAGGCCGGAAGGTCAATTTAACAACGTTAATGTGAAATTCCAACTAAAGAAATCGAAACATCGCAAGGCTGAGAAGTGACTATAATGAAGAAAATTGTTTTTGTAAAAATAACGCGTTAGATTCTCATAACTGGTATATGAAAAACGGAAACAACAATTTAACAATATTTGAATTGAGAAGTGGTAGTTGTTTAAAGGAATATGAAACTATGAAGATTTGTTTCCTCACGGGTATAAAGAAGGTAAATTTTAAAAGAAACTATAGTGCTTCGTCGATAGGGGATATTGCAAGATGATTTGGTTTTATCAACTGAGTTGAGTGTCAGCCCTTCGTCTTTCGTCCTGATTGATTTCATTGAAAACTGAAATTCTTCCGTTCCTTCCCGCTTCCTCGTCCTTTGCGGAAGTTTTAATCTAAATTTGATATAAAAAGAAAATAATTTTAATTAAGATATATTTCATTTAAGAAGAAACAAGACAATAAATTTGCGTTTATTGAATTAAGAGGGTGTCAATGGGGTTAGCCACTAGCTGTGACATGGCCAAAGTTTTTAACTGTTGACCCTAAAAGCCATCATCCTGGTGAGACCTTTAATTTTATGGTTCAAAATCTGAGCTCTTAAGCATTAAGCATGCTATAGAGCTCAGTTTTAGAAAGTACAAAAATAACATCGAATAGCGGAAGTTAATTATATCGTCTATCATTGTTCACTTTGGTTGTTTTAACAGACACAAAGAAACACTCTTCGGTTTCACGTTAGACCAAGCTATTCAAGTCGGTGTGGACAATTTGGGGGTTCCATGGCAACGAGCATCCGGGATAATAGCGGGAGACAGCCATTCATACGAGGTGTTTGCACCATTGTTTGATGCTATAATCGAAGAGTACCATGGACATAAAAAAAGGAATCTTCATCCAAGGGATATGGACAGTCATAAGATCGACGAAGGACAACTGGACAGTGATTATGTGCTGTCTATCAGGCTGCACGCTCGACGCTCCCTACGGGGTTATGCTTTGCCGGCAGGGTGTTCCCGCAGCACAAGAAGGATCCTTGAGGACCTTATTTACGCGGTACTCATGCGACTGGGAGGTGAGTGGGGGTGAGGTGAAGGACACTCACAGTGGGTTCCCAAGAAACCTAAAAACCTTAGAAAAAGAATGACAAGAACTTGTGGCGTCTTAGACTGAAACTTCCGATTTTTCTTTTTTTTGTAGGTGAATTTGCTGGTGAGTACAAGCCACTTGCCGAATTTTCAGACTCAAAGCGGGGTTCTCTCAATCTGCCATCGCATCCCATGTCACCAGTAATTACGTGCTCAGGGCGTGCCCGAGACTGGCCTGAGTCACGTGGTGTCTTTTTTAATAAGGACTGCACCTTTTTTGTGTTCGTAAATCAAGACGATCACCTGCAGTTTAGGTGCTTTGATATAGGAGGGAACCTTCAAGCGGTGTTCGATAAGTTGGTTCGAGGCCTGGCCGCGTTTGAACGAGAGCTAAAGAAGTCTGGGGAAGAGTTCATTTGGGACGATCACCTCGGTTACATAGTGTCGGACCCAATCCATCTCGGTACTGCACTCGAAGTCAGAGTTCGTGTTAAACTGCATCACTTATCCACGGTAAGTCAGATGCAGCGACTTTTGACTTCTCACATTTTGTTTAAGCAGGAATTATATTTTCGATCAGTCGGACTGGCTTTTTGGTTTACAAAGAAGATTTTGACTTACTATGTATCTTCTTTTAAATCTCCTACCGAAGGATTCAAGACTTCGATGGATACTAAAAGCCTACAAATTAGAAAAAAAGAGGACTGGTAAGTAGGGGAAAGGCATTATTTTCTTTTTCAGTCTCAGTCGTAACTGAGTACCATTATGAACTCGGAGGGGTCTGGACTCTATCTTAGAGGGAGGCCTCTATATTTGTAGCATTCGTAGACAGAGTGCCCGTCATTAACTTTCACAGGCTCACTCGGGAAAATTACGACAACGCTCATGAAAAACAACTCAATCTTGAAGAAATTTTTAATTGGGGGAAGATTTCAATTGTTCTTTATCCATTAGTCGAACAGTTGAGCTTAGTTCGTAGTTCCTTTAATTCTATTACAAAAAGTAACAGAATTACAGCGAAAAATCCCAGTTTTTCCGAGAAATTTCCTTAGCTCTCTCTCTCTCTCTCTCTTGCACCCTTAGAGATCGTAATTTCTCTCCTGGTCCGGTTCCAGGTTACACGCGGTCTCCAAAGCAAGAGTGACCTCTTAAGCCTAACAACTAGATTGCAGCAAGAAAATTACGTACAAACATTCCTTCTGTAGCTATTTTAAGATTTGTGTTCTACCACCGACAATTTTATATTTCCTTAGCACCTTACTGCGTTTTGGGCCAATCCTAGGTGAATCTCTTCTTTTATTTTCACAGGCCTTTCGAAAGGAGAAATGTTGGCTGGAATAATGTATCTTCATAACACTCAAACTCTGGGTGTGTCTGAAGTAAGTTCATGTCACTGTAATGTTTGATCGATCCCCTTCGATAATAATAAGAAAGTCGGCCTACGCAAGAGGTTAAACTCAAAATAAAAAAATAAATAAACTCAAAGTGACTTAAATGTTTCCGAATCTTGGGTGTTAACGTAGGTTAGGAACAATTAAAGAAATAATCAACGACACAGAGTAAAGCCTGATAAAAGAATTCAGGCGTCAAAGGAAATCTCTTTCGCAAGGTTGTATTTTTGCTCCGAATGAGCCTGGGAACGATCATCTTTGACCCGTGTCTCCTAGGTCCCGCTCGGTTACTATTTGCAAACATCAGTCCTGTTCAGTAGAACGGGTCAAATAATACTTGAAGGAAAATCATACCTACTGACTACTTGTTTGTCCCAACGCAGTATGATTCCTTGTCCTCTTTCACCATCCTATTTGCTGACCAAGAGCCATAAATAATTAAGAGTTGGCCATCCTCTCAACAATCTTTTTCTCTCTTCTTAGGTGAATTCTATCCGGCAGTTATGTGATGCAGTTAAACGGCTTATAGAGCTAGAGCGCATGCTTGAACAAGGACAGGATATTGAAGATGCTTTACCCCTCCCCCCGGTTCCTGTGGGAAAATCAATCAGATTTGACACTTTGGGATCCTAAATAATCTAAATGCTTTGTATAAAATATATAGACGACAACCGAACCGTTATAGACTGTTTTGTATCAAGCTTCACCTTATGTTTCCTTCTTGTGAAATTTACTCGATTTACTCGATGAAATACTTTTTGCGTGCTCTGAATTTATCACATAGTGTAGCATTGGTCTCGTACCCGGACCTTTCACGGTTACAATTACACAACGTACGTACAGTATAAATAACTTTTCACTCTGGATCAGGGTATCAATTTGCTTTGGAGAAAAAGAAATGCTTTGGTCATTCATTTAAGTACAGTTTTACAAAATAAGGTCAAATAAAGAATATTTTATTCAAGTCTGCGTCTGCATTGGTAAATTTGTTAATCGCTTGGCCTGACCCTAACCTCCCTCGTCTAGTAGCCAAAACTGACTTAAACGGTTCAGAGTTGGACGGCGGAATGGAAGACGATGAAGGATCCAATTGATTTTAAAACAAATAAAGGCAGTCGAGGTCTTAAAAACATGTTGCCGCCTTCTGAGGAAGGTACTGAAAGGAGATGTTAACTCCAAAAACCATAAAAGAAAGTTTGTTGTTTACCGCGTTTGAGATCCTAAGGAGTACATCGGCCTTTCAAAAATTGTCTTCGAATGAAGACAGCGGTCAAACAGCTGTAACACGTTAAAAATTCGTTTGAAATGCGCATATCTGTAGGTGCTTTTTCTTAAGTTTATCTTCTATTCAAGATCACGACGACGCCCTTTTGGGTTTAGCTACTGCTTAACAAACCTGCTTTATAAAGCATCTTTTTACCTGAACGATAATTTTTGTGTCTAGTGTCTGGAGAAGGGTTTATAACTGACACTGGGATACTTTCACTGGAAAAAAAAAAACATTTATTAGGAATTTTGTTGACCGGGGTCATATTTGATCGTCTAAAATCACTGCCCAAAGAAGACATTGCTTAAAATGCCGGTTTTGTTTGTTAAACTTCAAGGGAGTCATTTAACGCCTAAGTGGCTCACAAGTGTAATTGAATTGGATTTCATTTCAGGCATTTTCTGTCATTGCTTTTGAAGTAAGTTCCGCCAAATGTAAACATATGGATCGTGACATAACTTATTTATTTACCTGTTCGAATCCAATGAGATTATTCTTTACACAAACCTTAATCCTAAATGAAATTCACGAAATGTTGCACGCATCAAGTCTTTCGGGAAAATGAGGACATTATGCATTTTGTTGATTTAGGAATCATGTCTTCCGACGCTGGCTAATAATTCAGAGATTAGTTGTCATTGTACATGAAAACCTCACAAAATTGCGGGCTTGGAGGGTACAATGGTAACTGTCAGCTGAGGAGGACTTAGTTATTAATCACGAAACCTAAATATATTGCATTTTCGTTCTGACATTTTCTGGAAGAGTTTTTCAAACACCTCGGCGCGTGGACGGGAACGGAGAAAGAAAAGTGCTCGATTTCAGGTAACGAAAATTAGGATGTTTTTTCACAGAACTACAATTATTTCACGTTTTGAGTAAGTAACAACAATTTAAATTTGTGTTCATGAATTGAAAACTTTTGCTGTTTTGGTTTTGCTGATCTTAGCTGACGTCTGCCACACACAAAAAAAATAATTGAAAATGGCCTTCTTGATAACATCTATTTCCTCTTGCATAATCCTCATTGCCAAGTGCGGACTTATTAATTCTAGTAAGGACACAAACTACTTAAAAAGACAAGAACTTCTGGCAGTTTCGTTCTTTGCCTTACGACCTCCTTGTTTCTATGCTGTAATAAGAAGGATTTATTTTTCTGTTACGACTGTTCAAAATGTGATGCTTAATTTCCCGCACGTAGTTAATAGCGTTAGTCAAATTTACTCGTAGTTTCTCTCCCCTCCTCATTCAACTGAAAAACCTGTATTTGCCAAAAAGACAGAACCACTGGAAGGAGGGATACTGATCAGTTTAGATTGAATTGTTTGCTTTAAACTTTAAATCCGGTTAAGACGCATGGGCTGAAACATATCTTTTTTGTTATCAGCCTTTTTTTGGAGGAGTCGTAAACTTGGAAAGATTTCTTATACACGAACACTTTTGCTATATGTTAGTGCTATCGGTTGCAACGCAAAGGACACAGAAAACTTCTCAAAAACGCTTAATTTACCATAAATTTTGTATGAGTGTTGGAATAGGCATCTATACAATCCGCATTTATTAAACTGGTTCCTTTTTTTTTAAAGAGAGAGATTTTCGAAGTCTCACCGTAAGCTTCTAATTTGTCTGATGACGGTTAAATTTCACAATCCTGAATAAGCCCGAATGCTTGTTCGTGCGTTGAGGTTCACTACGGAACGCAATTGAACCCGGTCGATTCTAGATATCGGTACGTAGCACTGAAGTCCCTTACTCGTTTAGAACATCGTTATATAATCTGATGGGAAGAGTGGGAAAGTGGCATTACCCTGCAATAGAAGTCGAGACAGGCTTTCATTTGCAAAAGAAAATCTGCCCTGACAAGTAGTATCGACAGACCTCTCGTTTTATCCCAAAGATTACCACGGTTTTTTTCCTTTTTTTTTACGGATGGCTGACAAATTCCGTAGGGATTTTCATTTTTCTGATCACAACTTGAATTACACTTGAACTTGTTATCCAGTCTGACATGAGTAAGTATTGTTTTCAGTATAACTATACTGTTGTTGATTGTCAGTGTAACATAACTATCACAATCGTCCAGAGCAAATTCTGTAGGATGTTGTCATGATGGATGTTATCATGATGATGCAAAACGAGAAGAGATTCTGGGATGAAACATAAACACCTGTGCAACAAAGGGCAGTGCGAGTCAATGCCTTTGATTTGCTTCTAGAAGGAAGCGGTGAGTGGAGTTTTCAAGAATATACACGTTCCCACGCTTGTAAAGCATAAGCTCATCTGACAGAACATTTGCAAATTCCGATTTTTTGTGGTCATTCTTAGATTCAACAGGTTGATCTAGCAACAAAAAAAATGAAAACCTTGTAAAAATCATAGAATCGGTTAAGACGCGTATTGTCGTCTCAGACAAAGTTTTTGAACACCATCCAAACATCATCAGCACCAACAAGGGATTTTTATGTTCTCTAGGCGCCAACAAGTAAGAAAAATCAGTGATTGACCATTTATGAAAAGAAAGCATTTACAAGTTCAATTCTTTACTACAAGACCAGGAAATCGAGGATTCTTAGTTCTGACCTTCCTTCGAATTAAGCATTCTAATATTCTTGAAACTCGTGTCTCAAGCTTTTTTTTTATGGTAATTCTATTATGCTTACCAAGAAGTTGACTTATTGAGAAGCAAATGTCATTCCTTGGCTATTTGACATAGTTGAAGAATTCTTCAACGGAAATACTCACGGAACTTAGTTTTATAGACAACAGCTTGCTTAGACTGTGAATTTTGAAGCTG